AAACCGTGTTCTGTGATTGGAAGTGGGAAAAAGGTGTTCTTGAAGTCTTTACAGTGCCCCGAACGTTTACCACTCCATCGTTGGAGAGTGGGAGACAGGGACCCGGTTCCTTTCAGTCTCCAGTCTACTCCTACTCAGGCTCCAAGAAAAACCGAACAAAACAACCTCCTTAAATGTTTTTTTTTCCGAAAGAAACCAAGAACCTCCTTGGTATCAGAACCTCCGGTGGGGCGCCGGGCCTTTCCGGAACGGCGGGTTCCGCAGGAACCGTGAGACTGAAGGGTCCGGTCCACCGGCGCGCGGGACACCGGGGCTAAGCCCGGGGTATCTCCACTTAGGACAAGAGGACCTGTTTCGAACAAAAAGAGATGGTTCAAGTGATAAGGATCGCAGATCCTAGCAAATGGGTTGATATAACTATAGATGTGCTTTTTTGTGTTCGGTGGTGTATGTGCACCTGTTGGGCACCTCATAATATCATTCTGGGATGCAAGCTAGTCAGTCACCTTGACTGCTTGAAGACTCTCCTGGACGGCGTGAGCCTGTGACCATGCGGGCTCCAGCTGAGCTTCAGACAAACAGCTAACATGCTCCAACCAAAGGGTGATTTGGATGAACCTACTTTAAAACCTTTGGTTGGGGCATCCTGTAGCTCGAGCATTTTCAATCAACCTCAATGAGCAGAGCAACCTGTCAAGGTTGATGTTTGCAGGAACCAATTCGTTGCTGGGGCATTGGAGATGGCAAGCTTTCGGCGTGTTGACGCCGTGGAGCACAAAGGATGACTGACAGATTCCCACACCACTAAGAAAGCGATGCATCACCCATCATCACCGTGTGTGTGTGTGTGTTGATATTCAGACTGCGATGTTGGGGGAGCATGCCAGAAGCTCAGAATTCACTAGGATCAGTACAATTTCGGTGTTCTTTTATTTATCCCCCACCACTGTGGTTCCTTTTGATTTCCTTAGGTTTCCCACTGCGAGTGGTTGCGTTCGCCATTCGTCGATTCGTCCAGAGACTCTGAGCCCTTTGATCAAACGTATTCCAGCGGGTCGGAATAAGGTACGTAAAGACTTCTTTGGCCACCCAATTAGCTGCAAGAAGTTTCAGCACTGAACCTTGGCACCAGAGGAAGTCCACAGGACATTGACAGGAAACAACTTCCTGTTAAACTGTTGATTTCCTTAGTTCCCTGGAAGATGCAATTCAACAGGGTTCTAGACCTCCCTTGAATCGTTTTGGGCTGACTGACAACCGACTCCCTTCCAGTCCTCGTTTGCCTGGGTTTCTTTACAAATCAAGACTTCCCTTCCGTTTTTTTTGGTTTCTAAAAACTTGCGGAAATCGTTTCCTCACGACCACTGAGCCGTTGGTTTGACCAGTCATGTCCAGCAAGCCCAGCCGGCCGTCAGCAGAAGTTCTCATCGCAACAACGGGCCGAAGTTCTCCGGGTCTTTCGACCAGAAAGGGAGTTTGAGGTTGTCAGCACCTTTTGTTTAGTGTTTAGTGTTGTGTTTGTTGAGGGGGGCACAGTGACACATGGTACTTCGCATGGGGTCTCCCCCAGCAAATGTGTAATTCAACGCAGTTGGTCCTTGTACTGCGTGTGCGTGTACTTGTGCGTAGAAATGCTTTCAAGATTTGAGTCAAGATGTTTGAAACAGAACCTGTTGGGTCGCTGGAATGTTTTGTCGATCGTGGTGATGGTGTTGTAGCTGTAAGACTGGTGATGTTAAACAGCCTGGCAGCCTCGCATGACTTTGGTGGAGATGCGGCCATATGAGCACCGCAAGAAACCTCTCAAGATGAACTAAGTAAAGGCCTTGTCATATGGAACTTGGGCGTAAGCAAAAACCTGAAAAGCGTAAGGTTGCGTAATTAAGGGAGTTGTGAGACATGCATGTTACGTAAGCTTGCCATATGAGTGTATTTTCACCTACAAAAGGGGCCTTTGCGTAAGCATTTTCCTTCGGAGTATGCTTCTCATGTGTGAAAATGCAGATGCATAAGGTCTTCTCCGACATCCGTGGCGCGTAAGCTCGCATTGTGGTTGCGTAAGAAAAGCGTAAGCAGGAGCGTAAGAAAGTTCTACGACATAGGGTGTTTAATCATACGTTTTTTGCACAGCTCATATGATTGCCGCGCTTGCTGCAGGTGAGATATTTTCGTTGACTTTGGATGTCCAGATATACAACAGTTTCAAGTATCTATTTGAGAGCATGACGTTGTGGAGGCCTTAATGTACACATCTCAAAGGCAATTTCTCAAGATAATTTGATTGAGACATTTGATTATTGAACACCCCCGATCAGCTTGGCCCTACTTTTTCCTGCCATACTAACTGCCTTTCAAAAGAAAATAAAAGAAACCTTGTGGCAATTTCCCAAAATGGGGTATCCACTACCACCCCAATTCGTTCGGCTAAACTTCTTCACCAAAATGTTGAGCTCAGTTCTTCTTCGTCCCAGCCAGCTCAGTTCTTATAATTATTACACTACAATGAACTCCCAAGAAACCTGCTCATTCTTGGCTCATCCCTTTGCAGTCCAATCTTTGACTCGGCATCCAGGCATCCTCCAGCCAGTGGTGGCTAGCCAATGCCATTGTTCTTCCCAAGCTCATTCTTGGCCCTTATTGACAACCTCATGGGCCAATTCCTCCAGCATATTTAGCAGCTCAGTGTCCTTCTCCAACCCCTCCTCTTCACAATCTTTTCGATCTTAATCGTTTCTTACAGCTTTTGGGCTGGCTTCAGGATTTATCATTTTGCAATACTTTGGCTACAAATCTTGTCAGCCAAGTCTTGCTGACTCGAATGCCATTGCCTCCTCCGACAAAGCCACATTGACTGCTCCATCCCCTGCTGAGTGGCAACATTCTTCCGGTTGCATGATGGGAAATTTTCCTACCAGTCCCCATTCCTGCAAATCATCCAATATGATCAATCGCCGCTGATCTGCCAGTCTCAGATTCCTAAGTCCAAAAACCATACTCCATTGATCTGCAGCAACATATGGATGTCCAGCACCTTCTTTGCATGGCCAATGTCATTGTTTTCCCACCATGCTGATCATGCGAGAGAGTCCTTGTTGTCCACGCCAGGCCAGGCTTCCGGTACACCCAATTATATAATGCCAATTAAACCCTGAAATGGATCAATTTGCTTGTCATTTGCTGCCAGTTGAATGCACAACCCATCATGGTTTGATCTCCCACCCCATCAGCCTTCATTGATCCTTGGTGATCATGTCATTTTCGGCATCTCCAGGCCTCGATCAAGCAATTATTTGCGCGCTTCGTTGGAGTGGGTCTTCTGAGGCCATCTCATTCATACCTTTTTCATCCCTTTTTCATCCCCCTTTTTTCCAAACATTTTATCTGCATCTTTAGCAACATACCCTTTTTTTCACACATTTAGGTGCCGATTGTTCCTTGTTGTTTACCTCGAGTGAGCTCCGCACCTCATTCTCAGCTACACTAAACACCTGACCTTGACACCTATATGCCTGCCTGCTGCCTGCCCAATTGCCCCGCATAATGGCGCACACCCCATACTTGACCAAATTAAAAGAAGTGGGGGAGGTTCTCAGTGAATGCCATTGCTCATGAGCTTGAAATCAATTTCATCATGAAATTGAATCATTAATAGCACATGACCTCCTGGATCCCCTAGTGATCCTGCTCATATTCTACCCGCATGTTTCTTTTCAAAGAAGGGCTCATAGGGCAGCTCATGCTGGAGGTTCCCACAAAGATTGTTAAAACCCATATGTTATGTTCTTTTGCAGAACATTGTTGCCTTTGATCGCGAATTTAGAGATTTGTTTAGACTTTGCCAATGAGTAGCCCTTACTTAGCTGAGTAGCCCTTACTTGGCTAAGTAGTGCTAAGTAGCCCTGGCCCGCTCGAGGGGGGGTTCGCAAAAAAGGAAATTGCGCCCCCCCACTCCGCCCAAGCAAAATTGAATTCGACCCCCCCTTTGTAAAGTAATTGTTTAAATCATTTCTTTTAGTCAATGTGCGTTTAAAGTTATTTCTTTTGGAATGTTGTTTAAACATATACTATACGGTGTGGAATAGCGTATTTACGTGGATTTATTAATATTGTTCGGACATTGAGGCCTCCACAGCAATCATGTCTTATCCATTTTGGATGCGCATGACAGCGATGCGCATTATGTTTTGGCGTCAGCACAGCGATGCGCCCACTTTAATGTCCAGCCTGCCGACGGCAGTGGACAACGGGCAATAATGCCAAACAGGGCATTTGAGCAGCCATTCGGAGAACTGCTGCTGCACGAAGCAGCCATGTTCAACCGGACGTGGCTGGGAGAAAAGACCTGTGGCCCGCCAGAGGCTTTGGAGGATGGTTCGATAGAGCTGATGTATCCTCGAAATCCGGAAGATCCTGCCACCAGCAGTCACAAAGGGGTGCTTGACGGAGGGCAGGGGTGCCCATTATCCACTCACTTAGGGACTAAACGCCACCCTTTGTGACTGCTAGCATGTGGCTTTTTGGCCGATTGGATTCATTTGGATGAAGTCTTCCAACCGGACCTTTGCCATCAGGTCAGGTCGAAGCTGGGTGGCGACAGGAGGACTCATGAAGCTTTCTTCGGGCAAAAGGGTAGTGAAGCACCTTCCCCCAAAAAAGAAGACAAACTGACCTGTTTTTGCGGACTTCAATGACCTGTTTCCCCAAACCTCGCCTTTGGTGTGTGTTACAGCGTGGCCTGTCTCAGTCTACGAACTCTGACATGCGGGTGTCGTTGTATCAGACTCTTGGACTTTTGAACCAACCCCAAGTGGAAATAACAAGACTTTGTGCATCTTTGTTTCAAGACTTTGTTTCAATCTATATAGGTTTCAATGCAAAAGGACACCAAGTGGAGAAATTCAAGACTTTGTTTGAGAGCGATTCGGACTCCACCGATCTCCTGCGCAGCTCGGGTCTCCCCCGAGCTGGCGTCCACCGGGTACGCGTCGACGAGCTCCGAGGATCTCATTGACCATCTTCGAACTTCAAGTGGTCACGTCCTTGCTCCTCTTCGCACGCCATCAGGTGCCACCAACCAGTGAAGAGCTTTGTGGAACTGTTGCTGGCTGGGGCTTGCTTGCTTGCTGGCTGAGGTTTGTTTGCAGGTGCCGGGTGGTATGCAGATGTAATACTGTACGTATAGTATATTACTATATATTTATACAGTGGAGAGAGGGAGGGAGGGAGGGAGGGAGGGAGAGAGAGAGAGAGAGCAGACCTATGGATGCAACGCTTTGCCACCAGATTCTGCGCACATATATTTTTTAAGATTGGCAAGGTCTACCCCACCATTTCCCACCTATTTTTGTTACCTGATTTCGCCCAAATGATAGATAGTTTCACACGACAGCCACCCGTTTGGGCCCACAGCACCACCGTCCAGGTAGATGTGGCCATCATTGAGGTGGGGATGGGAGGCCTAGAGGATGCCACCAATGTGCTCCTGGAACCCGCAGCTCCTTGGATCAGCGCAGCAAGCAGATTTGGGATATGAGGGATCTTCGGATTTGCTTCGCTCAGGTTCGGGATATCAGAATCTGACATGTAGTCTTCTCAAATGCCTATGGGGTCGGGACCCGACTAGTCTGCAGGTATTTGGAGTCATCTCAGCCCATCAGGCGGATCTCAGCCTATCGGACGCATGGCTGGGTTTCCAAGGCCTGTTGCATCACCAGCATTGCCCTGGACCACGAGAAGTTCTTAGGGCCAACCCATGAGGACATCGCCAAGCACAAGGCACGTACGTTGATGCAAGCAATTTGTTTGTTGAAGCGAGCTTGAGATCATGTAAAAAATATGTGGCAGTTGGGGTGGACATGTGCCACTACTTGCAATATGAATTATGTTACAAGTTACACTGCTCTCCTGGCTTGTTTGGCTGGTTGGCTGCCCTTGCAGGCTGGCATTTTCCAACGCGGGCGCCCTGCCTACGTTGCTAAGGATGGCATGTCAGAGAGCGTGTCATGGTTAAATTCGGTATTGAAGGGGAAAGTATCTAAGATATGTCAGAGAATGAAGATTTGAGATCATTTGAGAGGTTTCGAGTGGTTCGTTCTTCGGGTCCGTTTGGGCCTGGCGTGGCGCAAAGAGTCGGTAGCATCCCGCCTTTGAAGCCGTTGCCCAGTTGACATGTTTTCCACTGTGCTGACTTAGAGATTCGTAGTCACCCATTGGCAATTAGGATGGGTAAGCACTAAAGTAGTTGCAACAATATCAGTGTGTCAGTGTAACCCTACTAAGTTACTATGTGCCAAGCAGGACCCCCTGAGCACTCAAAGTGGTTCGCGAGTACATCGACAAGTGGACGTACGTGTTTGATTGAAAAGCTGAGATCGGCAAGCAGTTGTGCTATTTCAATCGATAAGTCGATAAGTAGTTGGACTTCGTGACCCATGTATCCTAGCCCTCTTCGAGATCCTTCTCAACTCCACTGTGCAGATCATGAAAGACATGCTTGATTTTCCTACACATTTGCGAAGACAAAAGACACTTGGAAGGCTGTCAATCATGCTGAAGCATTTGGTTTTGTTTTCCAGGGCGGCCGGAGTGCATGTGTTAGCATGTTTCTGTTCTCTTGCATCACCATCTTGCCGAACATCTCGTACTTGGCCGAAAAAAGCGCCTCGCCGGCGGGTCCGTTCCGCCCCCCCAGGTCCAGCGAGTCATCGCTGAAGTCGCTGAGCGTGTCGGAGCACTGTCCGGATGCTCGGCGTCCTGGAGGGGTCTCAGACACGACTGCCATAGGACTGCCGCCCCATTGACCCCCCTGGCACCACCTCAATATAGGCATATATATATATATAAGTCTATTTGGTCGTAAATGATCCCTATTTCGTTTTAAATGATCCCCAACATTGGCTGCTTGTATGGAGAGCAGCTGCTGAGCATCAAGTGGGGTCACATGAATGGAACGTGGCTAGCCATGGTGATCGGCGAAAGTTTCTGGCATCCTTAAGGGATGATATTTCCAAGGAAACCAAGGAGCAAAGCAGCAATGAGGTCCACTTTTGCTTGCCGAAGCTGCGAGAGTTCCAGGGCAATCAGAAGTTAACATCTGGCTTCAAAAAGAATCCTGAAGTGTCTAGAAAGCGGCCAAACTACAACAACAGCAGGAGGGCTATGTTCGCCAACATGCCTGAAAGAAACAAGCACCTCAGTTAAAGCAAACAACATGCCTGATAATTTTTCTATTTTATGTTCTATTGAGAGTCCAACCATTATCCTTCTCCACTGTTTGCCACTCGAATGCAAGGTATTGTGACAATGGGCGAGATCGAGCGCGAATAGAAACTCTTTTTTCTCGAGAACAATGCATGTGTCATAGAAAGCATTGCTTCAAGAAAATGATGCCCAAGCAGGAAGACCTAACCTCATTTTTGGATGGCTTCTGGGAATTGAACAAGCTTTCGCAAGATGCATTTGTGGTTGACTTAGTTGTTATGGATATTGAGCTGACAAACAGTTTTGCAAGGCTGATTGATTTAAATGTCTCACTCGACTAAGATTTCCTTTGTCATGGCTGGAACTGCGATTGGGAATCGGCACTGGAAATTATTGGGCAAGAGTATGTCTCGACATTGTGTTGCGGCTCTGATGGGTGTGAGACCGCAACGTTTTCGATCTGCCTCCTCTGGGAGCTTTGATCGCCGATATGCCTGCTTTGGAGCTGCAACTTGGCCTCCAAGCGAACATTGATGGTTGCTTGGCAAAACACTGCAATGTGTGGGGTGCACATGAGGTCAAGAAGAGGACACCTCTTAAGAATATGAAGCTCGACCAATTCTTCTTGAAGGTGTACATTGGGCAGGGTGGAATGTTGCCCACAAGGTCACTTGGTGAAGATTCTCCAGTGGGTCCAGGAAGACAAGATCTGTTCGATTCTCAGGTTCCAGCGAGCTGCCCGACTCCGAGAGTCCATGAAGAGAAGCTCATCCAGCTCACAGCCAGTCCAAGTGAAATTTGGCAGCCGGGGGCATGTTGAGGAGGATGGAGCCTTTTCTCATTACGAAGCGCAAATCATGAGTTCATGTTTTGTCAAGGGTTTCCCCTGGTAAGGAAAATCCGAAGGATCTGCTCCCAGTGAGTCTGATGAAGAACGCTTACCTATGGAGAGCATTGAGTCTGATTTGGATCTGAAATTGCACATAATGGGGAGCAAAATGCTGTGGACAGAGACATATCCTTAGTTCGTGGATGTGAAACACGAGGTCGATTGAACTACCTCTGTGCTTCCTGTCTTCCTTGTGAGGTTGGTGGATACCAACAATTCTTCGGATCCTTCAGGCTTGCCCACCAGATACTTACCACCAGGGAACATTCGAATGCTCCACTCACAGGTGCCATTCAAGGTGTCGCTTTTTGGTTGCACCTAGAATGGACAACTTGCAATAGACAAGGCCCTTGAGTCAAGTTGCTCTTGTCTGAGGTATGGTCACTTCGCCGCCAGATACAATGCTAAATGGAAGGGGGGTCCTTCGATTCTGTAGCCCCACAAATTTTCCGACATGTGATGATTGCCAAGCTTACAAGGAGGCCTTCCATGATGCCCATGATACTTGTCAATTAATCTCTCAAGTGACATTCAATTACATTCAACACAGGACCTTTCAATTGCGATGATGCATTCAGGATGCCCTTGACAAGTATGAGGTGGCCAAACAATACAAAAGCCACATCAGTGCAGTGTCGGAGGATAGGCACCTGGAGAATTGGTTCCAGGCTGCGAGATGGAAGAAAGTTTCTGAAATCAATGCGGTTTGCCTTCAAGTGACATGGCAGGATTCATCATCATTGGAGGATGAAAGCGCTTGCCTGTTCGTTCATTGTGCTTCTTGTTTGCAAACAGCGTGAGCCAGTTGTGATTCCTCAGTGATGCTCGTAAAATTGTTAGGTTGGCATTCGTCTAAGGACGGAATGGATCAGGCCAAGTGGTGCATCCCCCGTGTGCGTGGGGGATGCACCACAAAGAGCATGGCCAAGTTTGAGCGTCCCAAATGTAAAATTCAAGGCATTTGGTTTCACAAAGCCATCCTTACCCTGCACATCATAGATGTTCGTCAAAGCCAAGATGCCTCCACAGTGGTGGAATGTCTCTGCCAAGATTTGGAGAAGATCTCAACCATTTGCAGGAGTCTTGGCAAACCTTTCCCAAAAAGACTGCTCTTGTGGGTCGACAACACAGTGAAAGAATGCAAGAATAACACCTTCATGAAGTTCCTATCCTGGATGCTTCTGCAGAAGGGTATGGAGATGACTGGTGTTTGCATGGCTCGAGTGGGACACACTCATTGCGCAATAGGTTTCTTGGATGACATCAATGTATAGACTTGTTTGTGTGAGATGCACCGGAAGCCCTTGTTGAAAGCCAAGACCAACTATATGGTGTGATCTCAAGAGCGACGCGTTTCATCGACGTCATGGCCGATGACATGGATATCCAGGAGTCCCTTTGATAAAGAAACACATTCCAAGTTGAAAAATTGTTCCAGCAAGTTGCTCCAGCAAATTCCACTAAGGAAGCTTCGAGATATCCTTGCAAGGCTGGATCTGAAGAAGTGGCTTGGAGCTGCCAGGGTGGATGTGGACATCGTGCGGAGCGTGCGTCCTTGGAAACAATGGTTTCTTGTTTGCATTGATTCAGATACTAACTGTTGAATGTTTTTGATGTCAATGACTCGACTCTCAATCGTTAGGCTTGAAGGTGCTCCAGTAACGGTGTCTGGGGGATTGCGGGATGATTGTACTGGAGCTCACTCATTCATCTTCGTCCGTCGAAGAGGCCAGACTCATGCAAGCCAATGAACTGTTTGCCACCTAGAAATGTCCACATGTCCAATGAATTGTTTACTTTTGCCAGATGTACCAGCTGGAATCCAGATATCTTCAGAAGGTCCAGGTCGAAATGATTGGCCTGAGAGCCCAAGCGACGTGGTGTGTTTGGTCAAAAGATTTGCCAGTGACCAATCGTTGAGTCAGGCCTGACTGTGTGTTTGTTCATGTTTTGTTGAAGAGCTGCCAGTGAGCCTCTTTGAACAAATAGCTCTTGCAGGACCCCTTGCTGATGTTTCCAGCCAGCTTCATGAATATACTTGGGCCAATTCCAAATCGCCCAAGACCCTTGCGTGTATTCGATGCTGAGCGCAGGAAGAAACTACTGAGCTTGGCGCACTTTTTACTGAACAACAACCCTGTGGAGTCAACAGAAAGGACAGTGAAATTTCTCTTGACTTTGGCTCAGGCAGATCAGCACTCAGAGGAAGTGCCTCATTTGCCTTGGCTGTCTACAGTGCATCGTTCCGATTTCGATCTGTTGAGTGATTGGGACCCCAATCAGTGCAAGGCAGTGCGACAGCTGTTACCTCAAATGAGGTTCGCAGCAAGACTTGCTAGGAGGCGCTGAAAGGCGAAAGGTTGTGCTAATTTGTCTTTAGAACAGTTCTTTTGGAAATTGGTTGAACAATGGTTGCAGCTTTTGGTCACTGAAATGTAGGGAGGCTTGGCTCTAGTCTGGTCGAAACTCAGCGACCATGAATCAGCGGGCAAGGGGGACTCCGCAGCGCAGGACCTTGCAGATTTGTTGTGTGTGTGTTGCAGGGTGCGCTTAAGCTAGTAACACTGGGAGGACATCAGTTCTGAAGAGAAAGGGCGCAATACTCTCAGGTGTGTTTGGTAGTCACCGTGTCCATTGAAGTATATTTTTGAGGCCTTCCTCCATTTGGATGTGGTATGGCCACACGATGCTCAGGCTATTCATGATGCAAAGCAACACAAAGATCCTGTCATATGAGTTTGCTTCTCCAGGCGCCTGCAGATTGGTCTGACGATGACCATGTACACTATGTTGCGGACAGCTATGACGAGCAGGACTAGGGCACGTTAGTGTAGAACCATTTTACTGTACATTGTATTCCAGAAATCACTCCAGGAACGCCAGGAATGGAAACGAGCTCGATCTGATGAGCAGGACATCTTTTTTTCTAGCATGGCCATATGATTATTTTCCATATGCCAGGATTATTGGCAAGACACTTTTGTCGAGAAGTCCCCCAACCCAACAGAGGACGAGGAAGCTACCCATGCCTGTTTATGGATTATGTACCCCAAAGCCTTTGTTGACAAACTGTATTTTGCCAGGACACTGGTAAGGGAAATTGTGGGTCAACTGATGATCGCTCTTGGAACGAGGTGTGCCAAAACAATGTGAACAAATGGTGACTGCTGATTGCGGAGTCAGGCAAAGGATTCAGACACACCACCGACATCGTCTGCAAGAGCTCCTAACATGAGAAAGGCACATTCGCACCAGTGCATCAATCAATCAAATGTTGAATCCTTTGTTGTTCGCTAGGGTGAGAAAGATGAGAAAGCTCCGAAATCCAAGAAAGATATTGAGTTCGTGGAGGCTGGAATTGATGTTGAAAATTAGTCAGCTTCCTCACAACATAACTCCTGCGCAGGCAGAACTACGTCATCTCACCGCGCAGATCATGATTCAGGAGATCGAGTCCATGGTCAGCCTGAAGCACATTCCACCAGTGGAAAGGTGCTACAAAATGGCAGCTATTTTACTTAAAGGCCTTGCAGAGCTAGAGCCACCAAAGCACTAAATTCAAAAAAGTTCGATGTTTCTGCGAACTACAACTTGAAAAAAGTCTTTGCCCGAGGGATTCAAAGCAATGTCAAGCAGTCTTGCTATG